AAATAGACTTAAGAATAATACTTTAATTAATAACCTTATAATCCTTTAATAATTAAACCTTAGATAAAGCCTAAATCTCTAAATTATAATAGGCCTCTTTATTATAATACTCCGCCTTATCTAGCTTATCTAAGTCTTTATAGCTATAATAAATTATCTTAATAGGCTTCTTATAAAGATATTTCTCTTAATAATAAAGCTATTATAAGCGGGATAAGGCCTCTAAAAGGTTTATCTTAGCTTTTTATTTTTATTTTTTAAGATAATTTTTCTCCTAAGAAATATAAATAATTAAAATATATTAATATATATTACTACTAAGAAAAATATTAACTTATAGGCTTATAAAGAAATATTATTAATATTATAATTAATATATTTCTTCTTAATATAAAAATTATAATATTATTTCTTTTTAGTTATTATATATAGATAATAATTAATATAAAAATACTAAGGTATTTTAAAACTAAATTTATTAATTAAGCGAGAAAGGTTATTATAATATATAATAATAAGTTTAAGGTAAAAAAATAAATTTTTAATATAACTTAATATTATATTAATAAAGAGAATATTTATAAGTCTAAGTTATTTATAGTAATATTTAGTCTCTAAAGTTAGCCTTAAGAATAAAATTAATAAAGAGGGAGCCTTATATTATAGCTATAATACAATTAAAGGTAATAATATTAAGTAAGAAATTAACCTTATTATATTAATTAATTATAGGGAAAGAAGATATATAAATTAAATAAAATTAGTTTAATTTCTCTTAATTATATAAGTTAAATATTAATAATTTAATTTAATTTAAGTATATTCGATTTAAATACTAAATAATATATAATATATATTTATTAATATTCTCTTATATAGAAATTACCTTAGTTATTAATATAACTTAGTTATATTTAATACCTTTAAATATATTACTAGATATAACTTATATTACCCTTTAAGGCTATATAATATCTTCCTCTGCTAATATAAACTAATATAACTAGTTTATCCCTTAGGAATCCTATTATTATTATAAATACCTCTTCTAGCTTATCTATTAGCCTATCTTTCCCTATACCCCTTATAAGCTTAGTATATATCTATAACCTATCCCTAACTATAAGGTCCTTTACTGCCCCTAGGTAAAAAAAGAAATAAATAGTCTCCTATGCTTCCTTCTCTAATTACTATAGGGTATATATGATTAGCATCGCTCTATCCTTATTTTTAATATTAAGATTAATTTTTAACCCTTTTACGAATTATTCTATTTCCTTCTTAAATCCTTGCCTCACTGCGGTATAAAGGCTATTAATATTCGGCGAGTAATTCGGCTAGGCTCTATTTTCTAGAAGCATTCGAGCTAGATAATAATATCCGTAATAGAGAGCGAGGGAAAGGGCAGTAATATCTTAATCCTTCTTATTAAGATTAGAGGCATTTATAAATATAGCGATAATATCCTCTTTTCTATAAGTAGCTATGAGGTATATTAAAGTAGCAAAGAGGCATATATTATCTCGCTAATTATTAAGAGGAAAGATACTAAGGGGAATAGTTACTTACTTATTTTATATTATTAGTATATTAAAGGTTATTAATAAACTTCTAAGCTAAGTTAATAAATAGCCCTACTTATCTAAATAACTAATAGTTAAGAAGGAAATATATTAAAAATATTCTAGCTAATTAATAAGTTCGTCTCTAATAATAGCGGTAATAATAGTAATAAAGGAAGAAGAAACTAGCGATAGAACTTAGGAGGAGAGATTACTTTAAATATCTACTACTTAGTATAAGAGGTTACCTAAGTTTCTTTAAAGAATACCTTATTACGGCTAATACTTCTATAGCGACGAGACTATTAGGTAAGGCTAATAGCATTAGGCTATAAGTTAGTCGGTTAGGTATAGGCTATTATTATAAGCTAGAAACTAAGACCTTGACTAAGAGATTTATTTACCGATTAGTTAAATATAGTGATATTAGACTTATAAATAGGTTAGCTATATATAAGTTATATAATGATTTATAAAAAAGGGGGCTTTAACCGAGAGAAGGCCTTGCCAGCGTCAATTGCCATATCTAGCACTCCCATAGGGTTATAATCATTAGACATAGGCGACAGCATCGGGGCCATATCTTAGCCGCATAGGTTCAGGTTGTTGCCACACCCCAGACAGCAAGTTATTAGCTATGAGACTGGGTTCACTAATTGGTCTCCTGTGAGGCCTCGTATCATCTCTTGTCTTGCCAGGGTCGTTTGACACGGTCAGCACCTACCGAACTTAAAAACCCTCTCCTCCATCTCCATCACAGATGACCAAATGCTAAAGGGCCTATTTGCTGGGCTTCCAGACAGATATGTAGTCTTATTAGAGGACATTAGTGCCGCGGGAGCCACATACTCTAGGGACTCTGGCCCTAAGGGTCTAGACAGCGACATAGACATGAGATCTCGAAAGAGAGGGGTAACCCTTTCAGGCCTCCTAAACGCCCTCGGTAGATAGCAGGGTTATACTTAGGTCTAAAGAAGTTAGTCTTCTCGTGAGGCTATAAAATAGCTACTACACGGCGTAACCGCGATTATAAGTTAGATAATTATCTAATATAATTACAAAGTAGCGATAAAAATCATATTTATATATAGCCTTTAATTAAGTATATACTATCTAATATAATTTTTAATCTTATTTATCTACGAGTTATTATATAGTAGATTATATCTAATCCTATCCTTAATAGTTATAGAGAGATAAATATATACCCTTAGGAGGCTTATAGGGATATAATTAAGGGCTATAGAAGCTAATACTTTAAATATAGAGTTATTTATCTTACTATAGTCTTTTCTATTTAATTAATTAGCCCTAAACTAACTAAGATATATAATACTATATATATAAATATCTTAGCTATATTTAAGTAAATTACTAATAAGAATACTAATAGCCCTATAAGCTCTTCTTAGCGCCTATTAATCTATTTATACTCTAATATCTTCTTATTAATAAAGCTACGAGACCCGCACCTTAGGCTCCGAGATATATATCGATTATAAGGCTAGAGTTAATATAGCTACTAATTAATAGGATTAATCTAACTTTTCTATTAGCTTTAACTCTACCTTTTAGTATACCGAGGAATCTTAATAGCTATATATAGCTAAATCTAAGCAATAAGAATTCACTTTCCTTACTGGCTATTATATTATTTAGAGCATTAACCGCTATAAATATATTAAGGTTTATAACCGGCACTTTAGGTAAAATTATAGTCTTATAGAAAAGGGACTCCTAAGTACTAAGGGTTTATCTCTAGGTTTAATTAAAGTATTTTATCGTATTATTCTTAATAAACCTAGGAGAAAATAATATAATTTATATTAATAACCTCTTTCTTTTAGCTCTTTTCCTAATAGGAGTATAACTACCTAGATAAGCATTAAATAAATAGACTAAAGATAATAACGACGCTAATAAAGTTAGCATAGTCCTTAGAATTAACTTATATAAGTTACTATTACTCTTATATCTAGCTCCCTATAGCCTTATTACTATGAATTACTTATTTATCTCCGGAGGATATCTACGCGCTATAGTTTACGCTATTAGGTTTATCTATACTAGACTAGAAAAATCTAGACTTCTATAATAACCGGCCCGAAGGAATAACTTTTATGAATAATAGCTATATATATATAATAATATTATTTCTACTTTTTATTTAATATAAGTATTTAATTTTAGTATCGCTTATAAAATAAGGTTATATGCTAGAATCTTTTAATATTAATAATAGTAAAGGTAATATTAAATTTGATCCTGGGAGTTGGAGTATGTGAGTAGGGGCTCGAGGTGGACAGGTACTCAAGCAAGGTGATTAGGTACTTAACTGAGGTGCGGGTAGGGGGCTCTAGCGATGGGTGAGTAGGTGCTCCAAAGTGGTGCGGGTGGGGTGCTGCAGGGAGGTTAAAAGTAAATGTTCCAACGAGGCCTCAGTGGATACTCCAGCGAGGTATTAGGCGCGTTAATAGGTATTTAGTAGGGCGCTCTAGCGAGGTGTTAGTAGGGCGCTCTAGCGAGGGTCAATAGGGCCTCCAGAGAGGTATTAGTGGGTGCCCTAGCTAGGGGCCCTAGTAAGAGTATTCTACTAAAAGTAATAGGTTATAATTAATACTAGTGAATTTTAACGCCTATTATATAAGGTAAGTAATAGGTATAGTCCTAGATAATAGAATATTAAAGAACCTATCTAGACTAGGGCTAGGTTATTAAACTACCTAGATAACTTTGATTGAAAATAACTCGATCGAACTAAGATTATTTCTAAACTAATGCCGTCTATGTGAACCTTTCCGTTATATATATAATTATGCCATATCTGGATAATTTAAAATCTAGTAGCCCATAGCTTAGTTCGCGGCTTATATAGTCGAGGATGTCTCTGACCTAGAAGGCTAGTCGTTGTTATTGAATGAGGTGCCTAGATTTGCGGCGGATTTAGTTAATAAGATGACGAAGCGATTTAGTTGAGGGGCTAGTAAATGTTAATATAAAAAGCTTCTGATAGGGATCATGATGGATGTGTCACCAATGATCGCGGCGCCGTTGGCCGTATGTGTTTGATACCGGCCCCCTCTATATGGGCCAGTGTCCAGTTTGCACTCGGTCGGCCTGATTATTAGCCCAGGAGCATTATCCTAGCCCAATGATCACAGACTTCAAGGTCGTTGGCCAAGGTCAATGATACCGGTGAGACATTCTCCCGGTCGCAACAGGTTGAACACGAGCGCCCATGGACGACCATTGGGCTGCCAGTTGATGTCACCGAACCCCAGCCTTCAGCCCAAGGTTTACTTGGGAGCCAATGCCTTCTAGTCGCCTGCCTCTTTCGTGAACAGGAGCCGAGCTCTTGAGTCTTGTGCCCAGCGATCCCGCTTCTCGTTGGAAGCGTGCCGAGGTGGAGGCAGGGCAGGCCGGCACTGTGTCACAATCATGACAGCTTATGGATGGTTGGCCACAGATGTCGTAGGAAGTTGGTGTTTGATAGACTTCCTGGGAAGTCGCTCCGGGCTGTATGGGGCAAGATGGGGCTGTGGACTGACTGGTACTGTTACTCGGCGGTCACGACGAGGCCAGGCCAAGGAGAGACGAAGGCTCGAAAGGCTTCTCCCACCCGTGCGTCACTGCATGAGGTATGAACCGGCAAAGAAGTGCTACGCAATAGGGAGATCCAGAATTGGGGAGGATTTCTTCTAACTGCATCTCCACACACTAGAAGGGACGTAGTCTGTGTGAGAAGGACCGACCACATGAACCTGGGTACAGATCGCCTGGTCTTCTGGCAGGGTGAAAAAACATTTCCACTCTGTGATTTTGAATCCCATGGCTGCGGTTAAGGAAGACGGTCTCGGGCTGTAGGAGAGTTCTGGATCCCCAGGTTATTTAAACCCTCAGGCGAGCAAGATTTTGCCGCCGGGCACGGAGATCCACATCGGAGGTCCGAGACGGATGCCCCACTAAGCCCCCTCTCCGTGCCCCACCTCCGGCTCCGGGAACTCCCCTCCCCACCGAGCCCCCTGAGGACCACGAGGAGAACGCCAATGGGGGGACCAATGGGGGGAGCGCCACCGATTCCGTTGAGAAGCCTGTCGAGGTCCGTGATAACGAATTCGGCCTTAGGCATCGACGCGGGAAAGAAGGGTTTCACGTCAGAATGGTTGACAACGACCCGGACGATAGTCCGGGATAGAGGAGGAAAGCACACTGGCATACCGCCAACACAAAGAAATGGAGAACGACTACGAACGACGGGGTCGACGAGCAGACGCAAGGGCCGAACCGGCAACACGCTCTCGAAAAAGCGAACGAGGATGAGGCAGACGTACCTAGCCTTGTGTCGGCAGTCTTGAGCAGGGCCGCGATCAAGCGATTCGTCGAGGCTGTGGAACACTCAAAAAGGCCACGGGCAGAGCGAGCTCGTAAGCCTCTCAATTAACTAGAGCTTAAAGACGGCACCCTGGCGCAGCAACGCCGCATCGGATAAACGCCGCCTACCAGGTGTTAATTGATAGCGGCCCTCCCACCACAATCGAGACGCCGACCCCATCACAGCCCTCGAAGAGAAAGCGAAACGTGTAGACTGAGCCGATTGTAAAGCCAGCTCTGCAGGAGGCGAGAAGGTCGCAGCAGATATCGCAAATTAATTACCCCACGGGACTAGGATCTTCGATCCACTCCCGCCCCGACAGCCCCGCTACCGCAGCCCTCGATTCCATCTTGAACGAGGTTCAACGACGATAGGACGCGAAACGCAAAGTTCTGACCCTGTTGGCTCGCTCGCTCGATAATATTGTCGCCAGCTGCTAACGCGACCTGAAAGAAACTGCCAAAGAGATTATAGAATATTTCTCGACCTACCTCACGACTACGTTCCTTGTGGACCCCAAGGCCCGCCCTGGCCAGCCGGAATCCGATCCGACGAACGGACGGGCCGTCCCGACAAGAACTGGACAAGCACAGGCCCAGTCCCAGCCAAACCCGCAGCCACACGCGAACTGTCGCAGGGTAGCCGGAGTGTCTGGTGGCTCCCCAGTTCGTGGGCAAGCACAGTGTGATTACACCAGTAGCTCAGCACCGAGGCAAGGAAGCGCCACCGTTAACATTAGGCATTGGACGAAGGCTCTGTGTATCAGCTAGCCAAGATCGACTTCTGCCCTGTCTAGCCTCTTGCCTCTGACTAAACATTCCCTACACCCCCTATCTCTTTCTTATACTTACCCCGTTTACCTCCCTATATACTCACCACTTAGCGACATCTCCGAAGCTCGGAGGAGCATGGCTTAGAGTCACTCAACCCCCAAACCTCCCTGCCAAACAGGACACGCTCAATAGATGCCTGCAGACTTACCTGCAGACAATGCAAGCCGTGACTACGAATCACACAACCGAACACAAGCTCAACCGGCGGAGCCAACGGGCGCGGTACAACTGACCCCATAACTGCCACTGGGCTCGATTTGCAGGATATTCTGGGTAGGCCACTTTGCATGTATGTACATAGTGCCACAGATAGTCTCCTGCACGCCGCATGCCCCTCGGGAGGCCTGGAGAGCTTCGCTCTCCCTCCGGCGTAAAATACATCTCTCTCTCTCTCTCTCTCTCTCTTCCTCGTCTCCTTCACTCCCACCTCTAGCTCTTCCGCCTCCTTCCATTGGCCTTGGTCAAAGGCCTGTTTGGGCGATCACGTCGCCCTGGATGACCTCGCTGATGTCGACCAGTTCGCCTAGCATGTTGGCTAGTTTGGTCGGGCAGTTCGGCACGTCGTAGTTGAACCATTTTGTCGGTAGTTCAACCTTAGTGGCCTTGAGACAGTGTCCTAGTTCCTGCTCCTTGGCTAAGATCCTTTGTCGGATCATTTTGTTTCGAGGCCGTATGGCGAAGCCCGACGCTGTAGGGTGGATATCCGGGATGTCGATACCTAAGTGACAGACCCAGCGTCTTCCAGGTAGCCTCGCGCAGGGCGTAGTTGGTGAGAGATTTGCTCATCCCTGGTGCTCTTCTGGAACTCGGATGAGAATGCGAATATCTTCTGCAGGCAAACACCATATTGGAAAGCCCATCCAGAGAGAGACTCACATGCACCGCTCGTTATTAAGATTCATGGCAATACTTGGAACTTGATTAGGAAGGTGAATTGCTACGCGAGGCGACTACCCAAGGAGTGGTAAGGGTGGCCCGATACTACTAGCCGGAATACTCAAGTGCATATCCAGACAGAAACCCCTCCAAAGCGCGTCCGCCACGCGCGTTTGACTCGCGACTCCCCATACTCTCGTCATACATTTGACTTTGCTGAATGAGGGCATCTGCCAAAGACCGGCAGCTCTGTACAGTCGCCGTTCTCTAGGGTGGTCCAACCGGTGGCCGTCCAACCGCCGCCATGTACGTGAGATATTTCTGGTAAGTCCGCGACGGATATCGCGGCGGTCGGACATCAGCAATTGCCTCAATGATATTCCCTCCAATGTTATTGTCGGCATTCCTATAGTGATAGACCTCATTCCACACATGGGAGATATTCCCATTACCGATACCCGGTTCGGGTATCGACCTGTCCAGTGGTTCAAACAGGATAGCGTATGCGGTCTTGTTAAGGTTCTTCCACCAGGCTAGCGGAGCGGAGAAGAGCCTCCCCCCAGGAAGGTAGCTGAGGATGTTGGAGTATACGTCGCCAGTGCCGTTGCTCTTCGTCGTGATGAGCGCCTGGATGTTGTTTATTTCTGCCGCGATGCTGGAAGGGTTGCCTGCCGTGTCCTGACGGACAATAGTTCCCCCTCCTTCTGCTTGTGTGCCTTGAAGCATCCACAACAGGACCAGATCTGCGAGCTTCTCGTTGGGGTAGACCGTGTTACTGATTATGTTGAGTATAGGGAACAAGGCATTTTCCAGCATCGAGCCTCCTTCTCGGAGGAACTGGAATTCCTGTCTAGCAAGGTCGTAATGACAGCCCGGGAACCATGTTTGGTGTATCTCGAGGTCAGCAAGATCTGGATTGTCGGCATGGCTCGGGTTCCTCGACGCTAGGCATGGTTGAAATGCCCAAAAACGGTCATGCATTGCCAAGGCATGGTAGACCTTCTCCACAGCGGTCGATACCAAGTTGTCATGGAACTCGGGCCACTCGAATCCAGACCCGGTGTGATAGTTTAGCCTCGGCACGCCGCGACTTCCAACAGTGTCGAATATGCCCATGAATTTGATTGGCGACCGCACCGCAAAGCTGACATTTGTTCTGAACTGGTCCATCTCGGGTGATGAAGGGTGATGAACGGCATGCGGGCTCCGATAGATGTCATAGACCTGCTTGATCAACACCGCGTTTCCCCTGTTTTGGATGATTCCGCAGTTATTGATCATGCCGCCGACCGACCTGACGATGTAGGCACCCCTACTAATCCCGAACATCCACACCTCCGTGTGCACATTCACATTCCAAGTGAAGTTCTGTACGATGAAGTCGTAAACCTCGGTACACTCCTTTTTCGCCTGGGTCGCAAAAGCGCCGTTCCAGAGATAGTTCATGAAATCACCACCCAAACCGACCCCGTCGAAATATCTAGCACGAACGTCGCGAGTTGGTGAGTTATAGACAGCAGGATTCGCGGCCAAATTGATTCCAACCATTTGCGCAAGGATATTGATGTTGCTCTTGGTGTTCGTTTCTCGACCGCACCAGGTACCGTCGCACAAGACGATAACTCTTCTTGTCGTTGCCATTCCGATCCAGGTCTTGTAAAGATAAGATGTAGCAGAAAGAAAATGCCGGTGTAAGAAACACGAAGCTAGACTAAGCAGATAAGGGAGAAAGTCCGCGCTTCTTATACTGAGGATCATATCAAAAATTCTGTCCTCAGTCAAGACGTATCGACGAGCATCAGTATCAGCCTGACTAAAAGATACTTACTTTGGGCTAGGCTCTAGAGCAGCTCCCGCTAGAAGCACCGATTAAGCAGTACCTATCGAGAGCTCGTAGTGGATGTGCTCTCTACTGTAGCTGCGAGCATCGAAAGCAAATTAGCGGTGCTGTACAGCACTGTTTGTGCCCTTGTGACCAACAGGGATGACCTGATGTGGCGTTTTCTTGGCGTAGGACAAAGTTTTTGATATGGCTGTCTCTTCTTTTTGCTGGACGAGCTGAAGGGCTACGAAACGGTCCTCCGTAGTTGCATTTGAAATTGAATGGATGGATGGATGGAGTTTACGCCCGGGCTGAAATTGCCTCCCGGCCTTTTGGGGCATGACAATTGCCTGCGCACGGATCCATGCCCTCTGGCGCTTACATGGTACATCGGCAAGGCAGCTGGCGGCCTGAAATCTTAATTAGTATTGAACCTTGATTAGTCTTTGCCCTTGTAAACAAGGAATAGGATGGATGGATCGTGAACTGGAATCAAGGTTATTGAAACTCATGGGACTGATCAGATCGATTTCATGACGACCAAATAACGTGTCTCGAGGTGGTAATACCGAAGCCAAAACATGGAGCGCTGGAGAAGGTATTAGAGGCTGTCAGATTAATTCATAATGACGTTTCTTTCATTTAGACCCAGGTCATTAAATAGAAAAAGTGATTGGTGGCATTATCGCAAGTTGTTCTGAAGTATGTGAATCTACGCCACGGCTGGGAGAGCTGAACATAACTAATGGTAGGGTAGTGAAGCTTCAAGATAGCAAACCAAATCAGCTGATCGAAGGAGTCCAGGTGAAGGTGACGTTGCCATAAAAATAGACACATTGCTTTCTGAGCTAAAGGAATCAAGAATGAACATCTACGGCCGACCCGGCTTCGTTGGCAATTACCACATAAGTTCGGAGAATGCCGCCTGAGCGCTTGAAATGTAGCCATTACTTCCCGTCTATTATGCACTATGTCTCGTGGGAGTACCTCACACTTTAGACATCAATCAATCAACGCACTGCTGCTACTCATTATCATTTATCTGACCCTTGATCCTTTTAGCACGCTCAGTGCGACACATGGCTTACGCCAGCTGGTGGTGGCACAGTAAACGTGAGGTGGGCTGACATGCCTTGTCTTGGTTCTATATCACCCATCACAACAAGTCTTCTTAATTTTTAGTCTGGTCGTCACGTCAACGTCTGTAATGACAGCCTTGGAGGCTGCAGGTTCAATTGGATTGCCTTTGAACACCGAGCTCGAACTGCTGTTCAGACTTTCAAGGTTCTAGCCGCAGATTGCGGCTAGTCAATTGGTGGGGTGTACTGCGCTACAAGTAGATGTGCTGACATGTGATGGCCTAGGGGTGGGAAGTTCCACTTATGCCGTATGTTCCGGTACTTGAACACGCATGCAACCGTGAGGCTATTGTCTTACCGTCAGACCAAGATATACAACTCCTCGGTTGCATCAGTGTACATACGTTCGCAAAGAATGCCTATTATAAGCCACAAAAACGTCTCATACTAGTCATAGACTCTGCTTCATTGAACATCACCCGCATCTCAACAAATCTACCCTGACCCGTAGACGGCATCGTCCAGCAGACATACATTCCCGCTAGGGTGGAGAACCAGCCAGAGAAATGATGGGAGTTAGTCTAGCAGTTCGATTAGCTTCTGGTATGTTGCCCCCCGTGCCATCAATGACACACAACGCAGGCGTGGGTGCAACGTTGATCTTGGCTTCAAACTAGAACTCTGTTATGATTGATGATGGAACTCTCCTCACCCACCCAGCGCACCAGCATTTAGGTTGCAAATCCATGAAAGCATAAAGACCAGACAAAGCCATGACACGAGGAGTCACTCAACAAACCCTTCCAGGCAGCCGAGGCAGCCGAGGAAGTCGAACCTTCCTGCTAGGCCGCCGCCTGCTTCAAAGGGCACGTTTCCTTTCCGTCCCTTCAATTTCCTAGCTGTCATGTTATGTATATAAAGTCATTCCTTTTCTAGTCAGAATAGCTAGGAATCAAGAGCTGCTATCTCATCAATTCCTTCGCATTCAGTTTGACAAACCATCGCAAAGCATTTGTCAGACGACGGGAACGACTACCGTATATCAGCACCCGAGGAGAATATCCCCATCCTGAGTATTGGTGGAAATCTTTCATATCTCTTTAAGTTTGGAGTGAATGCAACACAAGCAGCCCTTGACCCGGCTTCTCTTTCTTCTAGTGAGGGACCCGAAGAAAATCTTCGCCGGTCAACGATTTTTCGACAAGTCATATTCATTGCATGCCCACCAACTTTATCGGAATGAACCCTCTGCAGGCTTTCCAAGATGTTGTCAACCTTACCACTGGGGTCTTTGATGAAGTCGCCAAATTCTCCGCCAACGTTGTCAGAGACGGCGGTCGCATGACCGCCGAGGTCATTCGAGGAACCGGGGAGCTGCCCGCGACGGCCATACAGGAAACTACTGATTTTGCAGCCGGCAGTATGACGGTAATAGCTGCTGTCGGCGCTGAAATTGGACAAATTGTTGGACTCCCCAGACAGTTCATAGAGCAACCCGTTGGTTCTGCCGCCGCGGTTGTGAGAAACGGTGGTGGTGGGGCCGCCGACACCATCCGAATGGTTACTAACCTCCCAGCGACGGCCATACAGGAAAGCGCCGGCCTTACAGCCCATGTCATGACTAGAACCGCTAGTGCTGCTACCGGAATCTGTCGAAGGTTGGCTGGGCTGCCTATCCAAGTCCCACGGAATATTAGGCAGAAGATCCTCGACTTCGTAAGAACCATTTCTCAGGAAATCGCCAGTACCTTTGTCAATACGATTTACCACACAATGATCGACATATTAAGAAGGGTTCCTATTAGAGACCTTTCGCACCTTATTGCCCAAACGGTCATTGATCCGCTTAGTAAGTATAGATTATTTATAGGAGCCTCTCTATAATGGTATCGGATCTTTTACTAATTTTTACGCCTCTGCTATAGTTCTCTTTGTTGTAATACTATCCGCTATAGCTTTGGTATTCTTCTTTGCGCTGAAGCTTCTGTAGGTTATGTGCCCTGTTGACTAGGTATCCAGCTGAATCTGGTTAGATTTTAGCATTTTCGGTTAATGAATTAAGCTTGCATATGGCGGACAACCTTATTGGTCGGCACGGAATGTGTGATGTTCCGTCTTCATACCGTTCCCATCTTGGGTCGTAACACAAGCCGGTCGCGGCTTGCGCATAGAGCCTTGAGGAACGAGGTTGGCTATGGAAATTGCCAGCTTGCCATTTGCCAGGGCAGCATTGAAAACGGAAACGGAAAGGACTACTACTACTACTACTCCTCCTCCTCCTCCTCCTCCTCTCGGAAGAGGGTGGATCGAGGGGTGAAAACAGGTGTGGTCAGAAGAGATAATTGAATTGAGCTGCTTTCCTCTATCTAAGGGACCGACGAAGGTCGGTCTCTTAAACCTATGTTCAATCTCCCGATATCATAAGCATCAGCCTGCTGCCTGACGCTAGTCGTGGCGTTCACAGCAAGCTTCAAAATCAATCGATCGATATCGATCGGTTCGGTTCAAATTTTTGATCGATCGATCACTCATAGTTCTCACTAGGTATCTCTATCTATGCTGATCCTGCTCGCCAGTTGAAGAACCTACCTCCAATTATCCCCTTCAAGGACACCCAAGGGAAGAGTTAGTTAATAAATCCCAGCCTTACTCCACAAACAAAGGCACTAAGCCATAGCTATGGCGTCACAGGCGGCACCTAAGTAGTATCACCATCCTCCCGCAACTACCAAAATCTCTCTCCGTTTCGGCAGAAGATAACGCGATAGTATGAAAGTCAACAGCCATATAAGACAATCAAGGAAACCACACAACGCCGACATCCCTCCACCAAGCAATCAGATCAACTTTATATACGATATTATCCACTAGCAGTTCAGACAAGTACTAATCAAGCTCGTCTTATACTAGCAACATAGCCGACTGCTTTCGCCATTTACTTTATCATTCTTAAGAGTCAGGGCGAACCAGTGATCGACTAAATACTAACCAGCGCTCAATATTATCTAAGGCACTATTACTCTTAGATACTAAAACAGCATTACGGGCCGCCTCATAAACCATATTCTTATGCTTCTCTTCCCAGACTCTCAATAAGTTTCCCTTATAGGTCTTCCTCTACTCTCACAATATCGTTCAGGCACAAAGGAACACTTCGATCCATTTCGAGAATGCTTAAGATCACTGGCTTTTCCAGAAATAGACAGTCGGTTCAACGATATCGAGACTGCCGCGACGGGAACATGCGAGTGGCTACTTCGACACAAAACGTACACGAGCTGGGCCTCTTGTGATCGAGGCTTGCTTTGGATCAAAGGGAAGCCCGGCTCCGGGAAGTCGACGTTGCTGTGGAACGTTCTGAACGATGTCACGCCAAGACTCAAAAGCGGAGAGGGAGCCTTGATTCTCAAATTCTTCTTCCACGGTCGCGGTACGGAACTCCAAAGGACGCCGTTAGGCCTCTTCCAGTCACTCCTTTACCAGCTTAGCCAGGTCCCTGACGCGCTGTCAGAACTCGTGGCCCTGCCAGAGGGTCGTAAACGGCGCTTCAGCCGTCATCGGGGTCTCGTAGCTGCCATGGTCATTGAGGATTTGATGAAAGACAGGGCGAGAGATACCATGGATCAGCGAGCATTCGAATGATTGCTTGAGTGAAGAGAAGAGAGAAGTCGTGGTCAATGGGTTCGTCCTGGTGAAGTGTAATGTCAGTGCAAGTGTGGCTATTGAATCGCTCATGTGATTGGTCGGGGTTTATTTCGATCAGAGGCGAATATGACTTTTATTCGGCCACTTGATGTCTTCAAAGGTTTCCCTGTCGTGAATGCATAGCCCCGAGGCCTCGCCCAAGAATTAATGGCTGCCAATAGAGACTCACGGGATTCGTAAATGTCTTCAGGTGGGAGAGCATCGTCTGGGAACGTGATCCGGTGGCTTCGGTCCATTTCCGTTGGCAATATTGCTGTGTTGCAGAGCGCAGGTCGCGTCGAACGCGCTGGCGTGGTGGGTGGGCCAATCGGAGTGACAATGGCTGACATAATTTGGGCACCTAGGTGCCCATGTTTTGGCCGCCCTCTACTAACCTTATTTCGAACTAACTTCTCTCATAAGTCACGCCTCGCAATAGTGAGCAGGAAATAGGGGGAAAACAGTCCCAGAGTAATAATAATCGTCCCTGCAAACGCGTTGCCAATCGACCCATCTAAGTACGCTGTTTTTATAGCAAAATTGATCAAACATAGCTAAAATGACTCTCCCAGAATTTTAGGGGGGTCCCACGATTTTGGGGCCAGCTAAGAGGCATTTAGCCTCTGGGTCTGACGGATCCCACCTAGACCAACGGGTACTCTTGCACTTGAGGGTGTAGAATTTAAACATGTGCTAAACTGATTAGGAAAGCCCAGCGCTTGGGCCAAAAACGCGCCTAGTTGTACTAATCCAGAAGGGGAAGGCGTCACGCTTAACCGGCTCTGATGGCCGTTGAGATCGGCGGGTTTAACGGAAACTGCAACAGCACATAAATTTAATAACAATAAGACTGCTTTCCCATATTCTCTAGGCATCTAACTATCCACAGAAAGGATAGAAGATCATGAACCCTAATTGCGGGTCTGAAGACTTGTTTCCTAGTTGCCTCCTGGAAGGAGTAGGAGCGCGTCCTAGCATATCCCGACGCGTAAAATAAATTTATAAGCTATTCTATTTAAAAATAACACGGGAATAAGGCATGGCAGGGGTTCTACAAGGGATAAACGACAGACAGGGGACAGACAACGAAGATAATGGAAGAGTAGTAATAGTAATAACCATATAGGATATGCTGGAAACTACGAGGCTTCGATCAGAGAGCTCAGACAGACAATCTTCGGCTAGCGATACGTTCACGGTACTTCAGAATGATTGTAGAAAAGCAGAACATAGATACAAAGGAGAGATACAGAAAGCCAGTACAATGCTGCGTGCCCAAGTGAACAATCTGGCTCGTGTAGTCGGCAATCGATCTGCGAGGCCCTCACTCCAAACACACCCTTGCCCTCCCCTTTCCCGTTGGCCAGCGCGTTTCAGAGAAATCTTGCGAAGATGGTCGTGAAGAAGTCGTTGAGGAACATGCCACCAGGGTCGAGCTGCTGGCGTATCTGAAGAAACTGCTGGATGCTCCCCGGATCGTGGGCATCGTGGGCCGGGGCAAAATTGCTGATCGCCCCGTCACGAGTCTTGTTGATATGAGGGATGCCGCCGTGGCGCTTGGCAACCTCATTGAAGGCTAGGCGAAACTCCCTCCACGTGGGATCCCTAGGGTCAGGGTACAAAGGGTCAACCGTCATCATGTTGGCACTCCGGGATCGCGATAGCAGGGACTCCTGGTCCTGCTTGATAAAGTAGACCACTGCGGGCAACGGCAAGATGAAGTCGTACTGCTGCTTAAAGCGGTCGCTCAGATGCAAAAACTCCCGAACCATATCGCACCATTTCTCCTCGGGAAACGCCCAGTCATAGAAGTCAAAGTTCGGATCGTCTTTAGCGTAGATGACGCCACGATCGCATGGATCGACAATATAGCGACTGTGGCGGATGATATGCAGCGGCCAGTCGACCATCGCATTGATAATCGATTTGCTCAGGGCGGTTGCGGGGCGTAGCGCCGTCACGGCCTGCACCAGGGGCAGAAACAGACCCGCGAATAGATCGATGCTCTTGCTTTCAATCGGATCGAGCCAGGCCGTTGGGGAATCCGGCCTTGGTATCGCCGGATCCAAGAAATTGCGACACTGCCAGAGCAGCTTCCTGGTGGTCGGAAACAGCATCCCGAACACCTGGTCGTTGGCTCCGTTTAGAGCCTGCAGTTCCGCTGCAAAGTTGTCCATGAACTTGTCAATTCGCTCGACCTGGAAACTGACCTGCAGCGGCTGGGTCTTGAAGACACGCACGGTGACCTCGCAGACGACGCCGAGCATGCCAAAATGGGAGCGAATGGCAGGCAGGTATTCCGCATTCTGCGATTCTGAGATTTCCATGATCTTGCCGGCTGGCGTGACCAGCTTCACGCCGAGAACAAACGACGAGAACTGCGCAGAGCGTCTCATGGCGGTGTCGTTGGCGTGCGTGCCGCTGATGGCGCCAATCTGGAAATTGCCAAATTCCAGGACGACAGGAGGCTGGAGGCCGAGCACTTGCAAGTACGCACACAGCTGTCGCAGGGTCATGCCTCCTTCGACGGTGATAGTCAGCTCTTCCATATCGACGGACACGACGCGAGCCATTTTCTCCATCGAGATGACGATGCCGGTGCCCACTATGCATTCAGTGGTCGAATGCATGGCACCGACGACGGTCACTCGTTGTTTCTATTCAAAGGCTTGTCTGACGATGCCCTGAACCTCCGCAACATGAGCCGGCCTCCTGAAGAGGTCATCGGCTACTCCAAACCGGATCTCATCATTCCAGTTGGCAAGGACGGCCATAGCTGCAACTTACTTCAACCAAGATCCTGTTTCAATTCTGGTTATATGAAGACGAAAAGCGAATTTTTCTAGAATTCAAAATAGTGAGAATAGGACGGGAATTTAAGACCAAGGGAAAGGTTAGGACGAATACCTCCGAACAAGGATAGAAAATGGTAGTTCGCTATTCTATTTAGTCACATGCTATACACTGAAGCAACAATAGGGTTTTCTGGGCTGTGCGATTTCATCCACAAACAAAGAAAACTACACGTCATAGTGATGTACAAAATCGAATTATACGATATCCAATGTGCAGAATCAAGAATCAGGTCGCAATAATGCCAGCCTGGGCCCTCAGATCGCAAAGTCAGTCTATGGTCAAAGTTGATATTCAACCTATGATCACATGCAAGAGAGACGTAAGTGTGAAGTTGGAGTGCTTGTTGCTTCCATCGCACTATAATTTTAACGTTCACTTCAAACGTCCACTTCAAACGTCCCACCACTTTGCTTCTGAAAGCAAAGCACCACTTGGCGCATCAAACTGGGAGACTAACATGAAATTTCCGGTAGAAATTGAAGACGGCATATCCCTATGGATAATATCCTTCGATCACAAGCATGCATCCCAATTAGAAAGCTTAAAGTCTGTGCTTGAAAGTAAGATCAAAGCGATGGAACCCGATAAAAACGTGAATAAACTCACATGGACAAACTCTAGTTCCGTCTTTGACGGAGATGGGTATTGTTGTATTCATCATCAACATCAACGTTCACGCCTTCCTCAAGTTGCTGAGACGGCTGATGCGGAAAATTGTTCAAGAAAAGTTATTCACTTTATCACGTTATGCCTTCTGGCCATAGAACCCAAACATTCGTTAAGTCTAACCTCACTTTCTAGCTGGCAAGCCCGTCCAAGTTTGAGTTTCATTCGCAAGGAATTGGGCAAACTTTCCGAGCAAGTATCCACGTCAACGGCTGTTAATCGAAGCTATACCAAGAATGGATGCCTCCGAGCCGAGCCGACCGGGCTTTGCGGGTCCCCGCAGTGACTCAAATCTTCAATACTTCAGGCAGACACGAGAAGACTGGACGAACTCCGCTGTCATGGGCTGCTGGAAATGGGCACGAGGCGGTGGTTCAACTACTACTCGCGCAGGATGCGGACTCCAAGGACAAAGACCGTCAGAGTCCGCTTTCATGGGCCGTAGAGATTGGGCACGTGACGGTAGTTAAGCTGCTGCTTGCGAAGGACGGCGTTGATCCAGACTCCAAGGATAACGACGGCCGGACGCCATTCTACGCATCTTCTTCAGCCGCTCGACGTCGTCGGCAACTGCCCCGTATTTTTACGGAAGATGAAGCGGTTGTCGATATTGTCTCGCAAGTAATCCTCGTCTGTGCGCTAATGCAGATCTTCGATGCTATGGCCGCCGTTTCGCATAGTCTTCTCCGCAGAGATAGATCAATTGCTCGCAAACCTTGCTTTAGCGTCCCGTTCGACCGACTTCGTCGATCGGCCGGATATTCTTACATAGCTAAGGGAGCAATACATAGGCTCGGCCGGTCACATAGCCCTCGTGGGCATAGGCAGGTTTAGGTACGGGGCACCGCATAAATGCCCTTTAAGGACCGCCTTTATGCTAACCGACTAAAGTAAATCATAGGTTACTATCTAATTCGCATATCATATCCACGATAAATCACCGCAAATTAGTATCTTCTAGGTTTATGCGAGTTTAAAGCCGAGATTTAAAGAGGTCTATTAATCTATTATATAAAGGCTAAAATTACCTATGCGAAATAATCCTAGTATTAATATACTTAGGCTCATCTATAACTAGCTATAAACTAAGGAAGCTAGCTTATAGTTAATAATCTTAAATAATATTAATAATATTAACCTCTTTTATCCTAGTATTAAGGCTAATAAGAATAAGGCAATAAATTAACTAATAGATAAGAATATTATTATAAAAAGCGATTAATAGCTACTTATAGTATACCTATTAAAATACTATAATAGAATTATCCTTATTATATTATATAGTATAAATACTACTAAAAAGCTAATAAGTAGCTAGAAGGCTATCTATTAGATCTTAATTATAGATAATACCTAAGGCCTTTACCTTTTCTAGAATAAGCTTAATAAAGACTTTAATAAGGATATTACTATTAATTTTCTCTAGGCTCTAGATTATATCTCGCTAGCTATTACCTAAGCGGCGGTATATATTAATTATTATACCTCCTGCGCATTAATAAAAATATATCTAGATACCTTCTAGGAGAGTAATAAAGAGAAGGGTAATCTCCTTAATAGAGACGCAAGGGATCTTTGATGAGATAAGACTATCTCTAACTCTATAGTTACGATATAATAAGTTACCTTTAAATAAATACGCCGCGAGAAACTATCTATAGCGAAATTACTTTCCTTTATAAGCTTCTTTAATCTATAGGCTATTCCTAAGTTTATGCTTTATAACTATAGCATTGATCTTATAGAAAATATAGATAGAGATATAAAGAGTAATAACTTTAAGGAGGATCTTAATATCCTCTATAGTTACTTACTTATATCTATAATAATAATATAAGATATATATAAGATATATTCCTTAGTCTAATTTTATATATAAGCTTAGATATATATAGTAAATAATATAAAATAATAGAGATAGGTATTTTTATAGTCTATATCTAGATATTTCCTAAGTAATTATAAGGAGGTAGGTTATATGCGTAGTCACGTGACCCCTAAAAAGCCTTATAAATAGAGGTATAGCATAGTTAGGCATATTATGCCATAACTAGTTAATCTTTTATAAAAGAGGTCTATTAGCTTAATTGGTATGCTACCTAAATGTATTATAGTAATATATTCGAGATATAACTAACCTATTATTACGGCCTAACATAGTCCCCGTCACGTGCCTAAAAACTTCCCTATAAAATACCCTCTAATCCTAGCTAATTAGAGGTAATCTTATACTTTAAAGAATAATCTTATACTATAAGACTTATTCTTATATTATAATATTCTCTTAGTAACTATAAGATATTTATATATATATATATAATATTTATTATACCTTAGATAAATACTTAGCCCTTAAGCTATTAATAGATTTTAATTACCTTTAAGATTTTCTTAATTTATTACTAAGATATAATTACCTTATTATATAATAATACTAAGACTCCTTATTAATAATAAACCTAATATACCTAGTTTATTCCCTTAGAAAATACTAGATATTATATATTAATAGCTTCTTATTTAATATATTTCTATATTATATTATATAATATCTCTATTATTAAATAATATATCTTTTAATAAATAAAATACCTTATTTATTAGATTTTTTACTAAAAGATTATTATCTTATAATAAGATATTACTAAGTATTATTAAATTTATAGCTAAAATCTAATAACTTAGAGGTATAATTAATTAACTCTAGGGTTAAATATAGAATTAACTTATAGTATTTACCTAGTAATATTATAATAAAGATCTAAGAGAAATTATTAAACCCGCGATACCTAAACTATTTATAAAATAAGCCTATAATATTATATCTTTTTTTATTAAAATAAAGGGATATTTTAGGCTTTTTCTTTAATATATTAATATTAATATAAAAAAGGTATTTTTTATTATATCTTTTCTTTATAGAATTATTAAGATATAATTTAAACCTATTTAGAGAGACTTCTTAGAAAATAAAAATAAGTCTAATTAGGACTAAGAAACTATTAATATCTTTATTAATTAAAATAACTTTAAGGTAATTATTAAGGAAACTTTTAGAATAATTAATAAAGAAAGATAAGTTATAGCTAAACTTTATAGCTTAACTTAGAATAAATTATATATTATTTATTTTATTATTTTTTAATAAC